CATTAGGATCACAGTGTGCTGAGGACATAAGAAATGTAATGGTATATAATATTCAAACTTAAAAAGAACACTTTCCTTTGTATATTAAAAATAAATAGGAAAGTAGATGAATCCTCAATGCTGGTTCTTCCTATTAAGCATTTTTTTTTGAGGGGGGGCAATAGGGGTTAGATAACTTGGCCAGAGTCACATAGCTAGCACCACCTAGGTCCTCTCTCCCCCCCTTTTTTTGCATATTAAGCTTTAATAAATGTCATCAGCCTCTTTATAAATAGGTACGCAATAGTATATTGACTTACAAGATACTCTTATTGTTTTTATCTCACACCTATTGATGAATAGTTTTAAAATACTTAAATGAAATTTAAGTGATTAAATAATATAAACTTTTTTGTTATGAAGGATAGTTACATGACTTTATGCTTTGAAAATTATTCATTTTTTATTTGATGTATGAAATCGACCAAATGAGTTACTTAAAATAAATAATTTTACTCAATAAAGTTGAAAAAGTGCTATCAGTTTTTAAATCAATTATTATGAAACAGTTTTACTTCCCACAAATCTCTAATTTTTTTGAAGTTTTCAAATTATGGTAAAGATATCAATTCTACATAGTTATAGAATAGCTCTTTAAATATCTTACTATTATCTGTTTTAGTTTTAGCACCCTTCCTTTCCAAGATATTTGCTTCAAGAGGCAAATCACATATGTGATTACTAATGACTGCTGTAGCAAACTGTTACTATAAATGAATGCTAAAGATGTGCCAAACAAGTAGTTATAATATTCACAATACCACATTCTACTTATTTTCATGGCCTTTCATTGCCTTTTAAAATTTTTAGTGAGTCACTGAAGCACAATTATATTTATGATTTCCTCAACTATTCAAAAATTTTGATTTGCTAGCAATATATTTGCTTGAAACAGGACATTAATTAACAAAATATTTTAGAGATGATTTCAGACAGAAATGGCCATATTTTACTTTTGACTCAGGTTTGGTTTTGAGAGTATGGTTTGTTTCACAAAATAAAGCATAACAAATTTACAATTGATTTGTTTACTATGTGAAGTTAGAAATGAATGATATTCTTCAACTGATAGAAAGATTCTGTGTCCCACACATGACATACAGTTCATTTGCATTAGAATGTTTTTGTCTTGGCACATCTGGCAACAATGAGAAGTAACATTGTAGAATTGCATTTCATGTGAAATCTCCTTATCAAAATTCAGACTACAGTTTTTATAGGTCCTTGAACTGTAACTAAGGTACAGATGTCATTGAAATTTATTATGATAATGATAATCATTTGTTTTTCTATCATCGCATTATAATTATACTTAAGGGGCAAAGTGGATAGATCACTGTGCTTGTAACCAGGAAGACTTGTCTTCATGTGCTCAAATCTGGTCTCAGACACTAGCTGTGTCTCTGGGCAAGTCACATAGCCCTGTTTCCCTCCGTTTCTCAGCTGGAAAATAGGCTGGAAAAGGAAATGGCAAACCACTCTACTATCTTTGCCAAGAAAACCCTAAAGTGTGGTCACAAAGAGTCGAACATGACTGAAATGGCTCAGTAACAATAACTTTAAAGAATCTATGATTTCATCATGTGATGTTTTCTACATCTTTGCAGTTCATAACCTAGCCATGCCTTCACATTCTGTCCCAAGTTCCTCTACATTCGTTTTTAGATCTTATGTAGAGATTCTACCCAATGTACTAGAGGTCTTACTCTGGATTCTTTTTATATAGGTGATTGCCACTGCACTTGGACTTTCCCTCTTTTTCCCCTCACTGTTGCCATGTAACTGCCCCATTTCCTATAGATTTTACCTTCGTAACATCTCCCTTTTTCTTCTTATATTCCTACGACCCTAGTCCAGCCCATCATCATCTCATGGCTGGACTAATTGCAATGGCTTTCTGATTGGTCTTCTGCCACAGCATTCCCTGCTCCACTACATCCTCCACTCAGCTGATCGTCCTAAAGTACAGGTCTGATCATGTCACTCACTACTCAATAATTACAGTGGCTCTCTATCATATCCAGGATCAAAAATAAAATTCTCTTTGGCATTCAAAGCCCTTTATAACCTGACCCCTTTTACCTTTACAGTGTTCTTTCACCTTATACCTCCATATACTTTGCGTGCACTCCAGTGATACTGGCCTCTTTTCTGTTCCTCACACACTCCCATCTCCTAGTGTTCAGCATTTTTACTAGCTGTTCCCCATGCATGGAATTTTCTTCTCTGCCTCCTGGCTTCCTTCAATCTCAGCTAAAGTCCAATTTTTTCTTCTTCTTCTTCTTCTTCTCCTTTTCCTCCTCCTTCTCCTTTTTCTCCTCCTTCTCCTTCTTCTTTTCCTTCCTTCTTCTTCTTTTTTTGGTGAGGCAGTTGGAGTTAAACAACTTGCCCAGCTAGTAAGTGTTATGTGTCTGAGGCCGGATTTGAACTCTAAAGACCTATTTTCTATAAGAAGCCTTTCCTAGTTTCCCTTTGAGATTACCTCCAATTTATTTTGTATGTATTTTTTTTAAATAGTTGTTTGTATGTTGTCTCCATCATTGGACTGTGAGCTTGAGAGCAGGAGCTGATTTAATGACTTTTCTTTTTTGCTTTTATGTATCCCCCATCACTAAGCACAGTGCCTAGAAAACAGTAGGCACTTAATATAGGCTTCTTGTTGTTATTAAGGCTGGATGACCCAGTCTGGTATATTAGAGTGAGAACAGCTTTTATACACAGGTTGAAATAGATATGACTCAAGACCTGCTCTTTAATCATATATTGGAGCAGGGTGTGTCATTCTTCCTACCCAGGATCCTCTCCTCTCATCTCTTCCTTTTGAAATCTTATCCGTACTCAAGACCCATCTCAAATGCTATTTCCACCATGAAGTTTATCTTGATTATTCCTGAAAAAAAGTGATTCATCCCTCCCCTGAACTTGTATACAGCTTTGGTTGTACCACTGTTATGACAGTTGTTATCTTCTAATTTTATTATTTGTATACCTATATTATCTCCCACACTGGATTATAAGTTCTTTGATGGCAGGCACCATGCCTTATGTTTATTTTTGTCCCTAAGGTGCCTAGCCTAGCACCTTGCTAAATAGGTTCTGGGGGAAAAACATTTTTTCAAATTAATGAATTTTCATAAAAGAAAATTAGATACTTGAGACAATTATCCAGTGAATTCAGGCAAAGAAACCCCCACTGTTAAAAGAAGATATCGTTCTTTTGGCCTATATTATCCAAATTAACTGTTTATATCAATTTAATTATCTGTATAATTGCCCAATTCACAACTTAACTTTGACTGTGAAAAATGTTGTAAAAGTTAAGAACCTTTTCCATTCCTTGCTATTCTAATAATTTACTCAAGGTGCCACAATAAATCATTCAACTTTTTGTCTCTTGGGGTTCTTGTTTTCAAGGACAGTATGTTACTATTATTGGTAATAACATTAAAAAAAATATATACTTACCATCTCATGATGAAACATGCTGCCCATCTCCACATAGAGAGGTAATGAATTCAAGAATGAAAATTGAGGCTTTCATTTTTTGTTCACGGCTGATGTAGGAATTTATTTTGCTTAACTTTACATGTTTCTAATGCGTTTTATTTTTTCCTACTTTCTCAAGGGGAGAGGGATACATGAGAGGGAAAGAATTTGGAGGTGAAAATAAAAGTGAATTTTTAAAAAATTATTCAACCCATTAAATAGAAACATACCTGTCTAGTAGAAATAGCAAAGGAAAAATCTGCAGATCAATCTAAAATAATACTGTAAATTACTATAAATAATGTGTTATTTATATAATATACCAAACATCTAAAAATTACTCTGAAGTGATATCATGAGTTTATAGTCATTATCTGCTGCAAAGCCAAAGATACTATATAACTACAGATTCATGGTGTTATTTTAAGTATAGTAAGTATACATGAACATCAATATATGGGTAAAAATGTTGTAAAATACCTGGAAAAAAACACAAAAGGAGTTCAAAAGAAATAGGCCTGAAATTTGGGGGCCAAAAAAAGACAGGGTAAACATCTTAGAGCTCAGAGAAAATGTTCCCTGAATTTAGGACAAAAAGAGAGAAACAGAAAACATAGTGGGTGTATATTAAAAGAAACAATATAAAGTTAATGTGAAGTTATCCAAAATGATGATTACCTTCCTGTTAATCAAAAGCCTGGAGGTATTGTTCCTAGTGACTTAATTAAGCTTGGTCATTTTTTTTTTTAGTTATTCAAAGATTGTGTTTATATCTTCTGCAATTTCATTGTTACCCGCTATATCAAGGGAGTGAGTAGGTATCAAACCTTCTAGATTCTTCCTAATAGAGTCCCTTTCTGTCTCCTTATCTTTGAGTACATTCTTTCATTCAAGGAATATTTGAGTGTCTTTTATTTGTATGATTGGCTTATGTCTCCAGGGACTCAAAGACCATGGCATTTTGGATTATGTATGATAATGCTACCTTTAGTAATTAGGATTACCAACTATTTATTTCGGTGAATAGTTAGTTCTCTCCTAACCAAATAGAATGGAGAATTAAGAAAAATATCCAAGTACTTCAGGCCCATAGAGTACTTTAACATGTGTGTGTGTATTTATAACTAAGGTAAATGCTTTTATAATATATTAGATCATTGCTTCTCTACTTCACTTTTCTTGTATAGAACTGAACTCAGGAAAAGAGTCAATCAAAATGCCAGGAAAGGGGGAAAAAGACTAAATAGCTCAAGATTCTTGAATATGAGTTCATATGCAAGGACACATTTATAAAAGCTGAATTTTTCCAGAGAGAAATTGAATAACAAAAGAGAGAAATAGGTTGGGATCCAAACAATACCCAACATGTTAATTGACATCTAGTTATCATATAGATTCAACTAAATTCTGGGTCAGATTATATCTCCTGAAACATATCTACTTTTATACGTTAAAAGTCTTATATAAGCCTATAAAGGTGTTAGTATTCTCCAACACTACTATCATAAAGAAGTTTAACCATATTTTTTAATATATTTTCAGTTACTGATTTCTAACTATTATTGCAAGAGCCTAAGATTCTGTGTCAGAGTATCTTTTAAACATTTTAGGTTCACTGAAACCCCAAATGCATTTTTGCCTATTTCTTTCCCCTTAATTTTTAAACCCATGTGTATTCAAGGGAAATTTAATCCATATGTTCCTTACTCACTCACACTTAACTCATCAAAATGTTGTTTTGTAAAAGCTATTTGATGTCCAACAAGCCTTATGAGCCTTTTTATAAGCTCCTTTTTTTTTCCTCTTTGAATCAGGAAGTTGTTTTGCCAGTCATAAATACTATTCCCAAAGGATTCAAGTTCAGTTTGAAACTTAGAACCCACAGAGTTCTAAAGTTGAAAAGCCACATTTACCCATCCCTACTTCTAACAAATGCTGTCTTTAAATTTCCAGCTTTAGGTTTCTAAAGCTTTATGCAGGACCAAACAAAATAATAAAAGTTTTGCCCTGAGTCTCTAACCTCGTTGCCCCTTGCTCTTCAATTCTATAATGGAAGTCTATGCAAACCCTGGAAAACTATTTAAAAGTCAACTCAGGTTCTGTTTAAAAAACCAAAACACTTACTGAATCCAGCTTTACAAAACACAAAAATATTCATGACTTTAAAATAATCTAAAACTATTCACCTTTGTTTTTTGACCACACTTACTAAGTACAGAATTGATAATTATGTTAAAAGAATATCTCACTTAATAACATAACCCACGATACCATTATAGAACTATTCAATTGGGTTTTTTAAATGGAATCCATCTTTTGATACTTCACCCACCTCTGATCTCACAAGTTTTTCAAAATAATACTTAGTCTTATAAATCTATCTTACATTTGGAGCTTTTTTTCTTCCTTTGCAGACTTTATTGTGAAATTGACTTCACAATGCAAAATGCTTTCAACAGAAACACATTTAATACCACCCTGGAAATTTGGGGGTACTACAGAATTCTAACATGACTTTCAACTAGGTTTCCAGCACACTTAAGTTAGTATGTTGATCAGTGTTTAACAACCAGATCTCTGAAAGTACAGGACACACTTTTAAGCTTAATTTGCATTATTAATTCTTTACCACTTTTTAAAGTAGAGACAGTCAACAAAACAATAAATCAAACCCTGATTTGAAGCATTTGTTAATTTGTAGAGCCTTCATGCTCCCACTGAAAACATCCCTCTACATCTGGACTATTACTTAATCAAATTATTTTAATCAGACCTGTGTGGATATTAGTCCTATCGTCCACTCAAAATATGGACAGAATTTGTTTAATTAAATTGCAAAATTAAACAGCATTGAGAAATAATACTTATTATTACACTTGCTTCCTAAATCTCTTGGTAGTAAGTTGGTAGGAGCAGCCATGTATTGGTAGAAAGAGCACTTCATTTGTAATCAAGTGGCCTGGCTTCCATTTCTGGCTGTGTCACTTGGTATCTTTATTCCGAATTGGTTTCCTAATCTGTAAAATAAAGATTATAATTCCTGTTTTATCTCACACCATTGTTTTCAAGGTCCAATTAAATAACTCATGTAAAGTGCTTTGTGAAAAATAAAACACTATATAAAGTAAGTTAGACCACTTCCTGGTTCTAGGATTACAGGACCTGGAGGTCTGTTGCTAATGATTAGGACCTATGTGATCTTAGGCAAGTCTTTACTACCCAGGGATCAGTTTCCTCAACTGTAAAGGACAAGATTTGGACTTGATGGCCTTTAAAGACCCTTCCACCTCTAAATCTATAATACTTTAAAAATGTATTTGTATTTCTAGTTATTACTTTTCCTATTTGTATTCCCCTCACTTAGTACAGAGCTTTCACATAGTAAATGATTAAATTTTTTTTTCATTTATTCTGTGATCCTGCTAAACTAGATATTAGAGGGAAGAAAAAGTCATTGAAGTTTGCATTAATTCATTGCTGCTGCCCACTGTAGTCCCTTAGTGGTCTGAAAGACTTTGGCTACATCTGAAGAAAGTGACTTAAAACATTTTTGGAAGAAGCTTCTCATCATTATTATTATAATTTGGCATCTGACCTGTTCAGTAGCAACAAAAAAAATTTTTAGGGACAAATGAACTATGTACTGAAAATATTTGATTGAGTGTTTCAGCTTCTACTGTACTCTGAATTACTTATCAAAGCCAATGAAGGAACCTAGAAGTACTTCAGCTAAGCCCTAAGGGCAAGTATTGTACAGTATTTGCATAACCATAGTCACTATTCAAAGAACTACCCTCATAGACTTTGCAAGTTGGTTCCTAGCTATCAGGCAATCAAGTTGGTACTTACCCAGGGAGAAAACAAAAGTCTAATGAAATCAGCTTTCTTGCTATTGCTAAATTTTGTTTTCAGTAAAAATGGCTTAGGCATTTTAATAACAACCAATTGATTAAAGTATTTTTGGCCCCTTTCAAAATATTTTGGCTTTAATGTGTGTCCCAAATAGTAAAGTTATGATCAGTATGTTACTTAAGCAACCAAGAAAACTAGAAAGTGCCACTATTATATCTATCATCTCCTCTCAGGCCCATCTTCTTGTTTGAAGATTACATAAATGTGTACTTTTTTCATGTTCTATCAGTAGAAAATAAATATCCAATTAAAGGACATAAAAACTGTCAGTTTTTCAGGCTCTTTTTCAGGGGAGCAGTCTTTTCTATCTAGTCTAATTTTAAAACTTTTTCAAATATAGTCTTATTAATAAAAGTTCAAACCATTTCCAGAAATAAGTTAACATAATATAATCAAGGTTTTTTTTTCTTTTTCACGTTTTTTTTTACATCCAGACTATGATTTGCAGTTGCAAAAGCAAATAGGGTCCAAGGCTCTCGATCAGCCCAAGGACTGGAGGCTCATGGTACCTTGGCTTTTATATGATTTTTACACAGTAGAAGAGGGGAACAGGAATATATCAGTCAAGCAGTGATCAGGTTAGGGCATGTGCTGATATTTCATGAGTGGGGGTTTTACAGAAAACATTTGAAGGACATCTCAGTGTTGAGAGTCAAAACTTATAGTCATAAAATAGAGAGCTAATCACAAAATAAAGTCATTTTGGTCTAATAATTACAATTCCTCCCTTTGGACTTAGAGCTCCAAGAAGTCTGCAGGTCTGCCAGTTACCTTGAGAGAATTCAATCTAGGCTGAGACTTTGAAGGCATTGGTAGTCTACTGTCACAGACATAAGCTGCAGTAGTGACTAGGAGCAGTCTTATGAAGAAGTATATGGCTAAGTGAGGCTACAGCAATGAGGGAATATAAGAAGGGAGTGATGCTTCATCCCCTACCAGAGAGGTGTAGACTGGGGTAAAGGGTTTAGCAATAATAGGAAGATGGCCAAATAGCATTTTGAAGGGCAAAAGGCAAAGTTACCCCCTTGGCCTAATAAATAAGTAGAGCAAAGTGAGGGGTAAGACCTCAGGTCATCTCAAATGTGTCTCCCTGAAGAGTTTACCCAGCATGGTCTTAAGTTCCAGATGATTCATTCACTCAACCTGGCTGGGGATGGTAAGGGGTGTAGAAATGAGGGGAAATTTACATATCACCAAGGTAACCAAAAAAATTTAGTAAACATGAACACCATAGGGGAAAAAAAGTAATACAATAATGATCATCAATATTAAATAACATCAAGTCTCATTGTAACCTGGTAACCCACTCCAACTGTTCATTTAATCAGCATACTTTATCTTGAGTCACAGATGTAGTCATCTGGTCCATGGAAACATCTTCTCTTGGACATTCTAGAATAGGTGTCTTTCTCAGGGCAGCTCTGAAGGAGGCTCCTCCACAATCAAGTATTGCAAATGGTCTTTTAAACACAATACTGTGTAAGTAAAACAACATGTGTCATTTATTATTACTGTATTCTATGTATTAGTACATAAGAATTAACCAGTAGAGGAAGGAAACAAGCATTTATTAAGCACCTACTATGTGCCAGGTACTAAGTGCTTTAAAAACAGTATCTCATTTGATGCTACCTTTTGGTAGCTGAAATTGAGATAATAGCAAAATTTTAGGTTTTCTATTTCATTAAATGTTACTTTAGTGTTGTAGGAGAGTTGTCATTTTTACTACTTGAGTATACCATCTCTTTCCAATCACCCAGGTTCTAAACTTCAGTGTCCTTACTCTCCCTTCACTCACTTTCACTTAACCCACATGTCCAGTCAGCTGCCAAATTTTATCTCTTCTGTTTCCATAAAATTGCTCATAAATGGCCCCTTCTCTTTACTCACATGGCCACCACTAAACTTTAAGCCTGCATCACTTCTCCTATAAATTATTATAGTAGCTTCCTATTTAGTCTCTCTACCTCAAAACTTTCCCTACTCCAATTCATTACTGCCGTTACTAAAGATTTGGTCTGACCATGTTAAACCCCTCCTAACCACCACAGTAAATCCAAGTGCCTTCCTGTTAGCTCTAGGAAAAGGGGCTCTTAACTCCAAGTTGGTAATTTTTTTAAATTATAATTTGATAACTATTTCAATATAACCAGTTTCCTTTGTAATGCTATGCATTTTATTTTATAAATTTAAAAATATGATTCTGAGAATGGTTCCATAGGTTTCACTAAACTGCAAAAAAAGTCCAGAAGCTCTTTTTTAAGATCAAATATAAATTCCCCTTTCTGTTATTTAATGCTTTTTTCACATCCTGGTGCATGCCTGCCTTTTCAGTCTTCTTATATGTTACTCTCTTTTGTGGCCATATAAGCATATGCTGTTTTTCTCTATCTCCCTCCTCTCTGTCTTTGCATTGGTTGTCCCAAATGACTGGAATAAACTCCTTCCTCACCTATACCTCTTGGAAACCCTGCTGTCTTTTAAGACTAAGGTCAAGGGTCTTCTTCTACGTGAAGCCTTTTCTGATCTTAACAGCTTCTAGTGCCCTCCTTCCCAAAATTACCTTGTGGTAATTTTGCATATCTTGTATGTAACTTATTTTTCTATATGTTGTCCTTTCCATTTGCATGCAGACTCTTTAAGAACAGGGACTGTTTCACTTTTGGTTTTGTGTCCCTCATGCTTACTGAGCATAGAATTTGAAACATATAGGCACTTAGTTAACAAATGCTTGAGTAATTCTGAATTTATTAGTACATTTGCTAGTAAGATCTAGTTCACATGTTCTACTAAAAAGAGATTTTTAGAGATCCCTTCCCAGACCCAAATTTAGGATAGGGTATGCACTAATGATTTTTTTTTCTCCACATACTAGATTACCTATGCTACAATTAAATTACAAGAGAAAAACTAGAGTTGGAGCCTACCAGGTTTTGTTTTAGCCTGTTCCATTGTAAAAGTTAGCTTTCCAGGGTCAGCTAGGTGGCACAGGAGATAGAACACCAGCCCTAGAGTCAGGAGGACCTGAGTTCAAACAGACCTCAGACACATAACATTTACTAACTGTGTGACTGTGGGCAAGTCACTTAACCCCAATTGCCTCACTCCAAAAAAAAATAGCTTTCATATTTTTCAAGATAAACATTAAGGTAAATAAATAGGCAAAAAGGAGTATGATTTTAATCTTGAATAGGGAATGTGATTTTAATTTTCTGATGTGGTAGAAGAAATATCAAATTATATAATTACTCAGAAGAAAAGAGAGCTATTCCTTCTAAGTAAGTTAGGTGCTTTTTTTTTTTACAGTGAGTCCTGAAGAGATAAGGTACCTTTTTAAACACTTGACTTGCTTTGGAAGGTAGGATAGTGGAATATGATTACCTCTGACTCTTGTATTAAGAATCAATTGACTAGGTAACCGCCTAATAAAAGTAGAGGAGTAGTAGGTTATTCAGTTTTAGGTTTAAAGCTGTAAAGGACCACAGATGTCAGTCCAAACTCAGATATAGAACCTGTCCAAAAAATTACTCAGATACATGAATAGGATATTTCTGGGGTAGTGTATCCTTTGACAAAGTCTTTTTTGGAGGCCTGAAATTTAAATACATAGACATGAGTTCCTTATCATTCTTGATTGCATAAGAACTAAGTCATAACTGTGTTTTCCCTAGATAACTTTGTACTTTTTTAATCAACCATCAGCATTCTTAAAAAGTAAAGGAGTTTTTCTAGATTGTTTTACTAAGATTTTTTTTTTCAGGGAGAGGAGTTTTAGATATTTGAGAATCAGAGCAAAGGGATGGGTCCAAGAAACTTCTAAACCTGGAGTCCTATAATTTATTTTAAAGATTTAGGCTTCACCTCACCATCTCCTTTCCCCTTCCCCTCCCCAAAGAAACAAGCAAATCCATACTCTCTTTAGGTGATTCAATACTTAATTTAAAGCTATTTTGAGTGAGCTCCTGGAGAGCAAGAATTGTTTCTGTTTATTAAATATTTCTGCTTTTCTTTGTGTTTCCAGGGCCTGGCACAGAGTAGGTACTTAATAAATACTAATTGGTAGGGGTAGCTAGGTTGAGCAGGGGATAGAGCACAGGCCCTGAAGTCAAGAGCACCTGAGTTCAAATCCAGCCTCAGACCAACCACTTGACACTTACTAGCTGTGTGACCCTGGGCAAGTTACTTAACCCCAATTACCTAAAAAAAAAAAAACAACCACTAATTGATTGACTGATATTAAAGCCTTTTTACTTTATTTAAAAATACAATTATCCAAATACTATGATCTCTTCTGCCCTAGGGAATTCTGATGTGGGAACTGCTTCCACCAATGCAGATAGCAACCATCTCTTAACTGAATAGCAAGTTCCTAGGGCACAAAGAGATTAAATAACTAGCTCAGGATCAAAGAATTAGTAAATATCAGAGGTGGGGGTTTGAATCCAGGTTTTCCTGATGTAATGCTTGGGCATTACTCTCTGTCCACTTCACCAGGCTGCTTTTACCATTCCCTCCATTGAGTTTTGAAATAATGCCTTTAATTTAAAATATGATGTTTGGTTACTTATACTCTTAGTTTCCTGAAAATGTTTATTTTAGACATTGTTGTTGGACTATACTGTCCATGGGGTTTTCTTGGCAAAGATACTGGAATGGTTTGCTATTTCTTTCTGCAGTGGATTAAGGCAAACAAAGGTTAAGTGACTTGCCCAGGGTCATATAGCTAGTAAGTGTCTGAGGGTGGATTTGAACTCAGGTCTTCATGACTCCAGGTCCAGTGCTGTATCCACTGAGCCATCTAATGCCTCATTTTAGACATACTAACCCAAGAAAAAAAACACAAGTAGAATGTTACAGATTTATGTCAATTAAAATATTTTTGATTTTTATTCTTTTTCCTTTATTCTTTTTCTAAGTATGGAGGCAGCCTTCTTATCATCTGGCAACTGTCAGGATCTTAAATTTCATCCCTTTGCTGGGGTTAAATTGTACCCCCAAAATTACATTCTTTGGCATATTGCAAAAGCAAACTAAGTTTTAAAAACTAAAAAATTTATGGAGAGGAAATCCATGTGATTTAGTAATTTATCAGTCTCACAAATAATTTGTAGCACTCTGTGCAATAAATATATCTTTTTCCCCTTAATATGCTTTCTTATTTACAAAATATTTGCCAGGTCAATAAGATTTTTTTCCTTTATAAAAATCATTCTTAGCCCTTACATTTTCTGAAATTCATTAACTGAGATAAAAATTGAAAAGACTGAGGACAGTGTTTGCTAGTTCACTTCAAATTTCATCCTTTTTGCTTTAGTAATTAAGTCTTAAAACTTTCAATTCACATTGTCCCCATCAGTTTAATTTTGAGCTTGTGAATATAAAATGATTAGGTAGAAAGCAGTACTAAATTTAGTCTCCTGATTTTAAAGGTACCCTTCCAAACTCAGTTTTTTTTTCTGACAATCCTACCTTTGAGTATATTTGACTAATACTTCCCTTAACAGATGCAAAACACATGTATTTACCAAACTATATCTAAAATGAGGTTCAACATCTCAACTGACTCTAGAATCTTTGGGACTAAATATTGAATTGCTGGGGTGGGGGTTGTCATTCTTTTAATTTTTAAAGTGATCTTTGCTCAAAATATTTGTTAATGGACATCCTATGTGATAATACTGTCTTTTGTTCAGCTCCATAAAATAGTGTGGGGCAATGCTCTTTAAACCATTGTCTTTCGAATTCCTGGAGGAAACAAAAGTTTTCTATTACCATCTCAGGTGGGATATTGTAACAATCCTTGGTTTATAACACAGTGGGAGGTTTAGTGTTATCCATTTGTGTTACTGTACCTACATACTATTTGTGTAAAGGCCAACTGAATAACCATCATTCACACTTTTTTATTACAACAGTGGTGATAGCAATGAATATATTTAGGTTCAACCCCCAAACCACAGTAAAGAGTTACATTTGTAGCCACTCACCTTATCCTTCTAGTGTACAGTCAGCCAGAATAGCCTCTGCCTGGTGTTGGGAAAATGGTGCTCTTTTGTTTTTAATGAGCATTTATGTTTTGAGGGGCTTCCAGAACTTCCAGATACTCAATTAAAGAGCAGCGGTTGTTGTAGTTTTTGTTATGCAGATAGCTGGGTGTCCAGTGGAAGTGCTGCAGTTATTATAGTTGTTGCTGTTATTACTATTGTGCTTTATGTAAACAGTTTAATATCAGATCCTTAAAACCCAGAGTCTCCCCTAAAGGGGATTAAAACATAATCTTCTCTATATAGCAGTAGTGGATTAACTCCATATTCCCTCAATCCTTGGTTTGCTCCCTGAAGGTTTGTAACAAAAAGACTCAGTGCTCTTTAAACATGCTATGGTACAGGAAGTTGTAATTGGAGATTTCCAAAGGACAAGTGTAAAAATGGCACATTATTGAAATTGAATGTTTTATTTTGTAGTTGGTTTTTTTAAGAGGGACTCACTCAGAGACCTTTCAAAGCTGCCACTTCCCTCAGAAAATGTCAACTCCATAGACCTAATTCAAGAGTTAAATCTGAAGGAATCTTTTTCTTATTTCTGGAATGCAAAGTATTGAGCAGAAAAAAAATATGTTCTCATTAGGAGTTATTGAAAATATACACTTTAGCAATTAGATTTGGTAATCAGAAAACCAAAAAGTATGGTTAAATTTGATTTTTTTGTAGGTTTCCCATTAACATGGAATTTCTTTTAAAAAATTAACAAGTTCACTGATTTTTCTCAATTTAGATTAAAGGTTTAACATTTATTCTTTGGATTTGATCAGAGGATACAATTATTCTTTCTAAAAGGAACTTTCTGCTGTTTTTAACTTCCTTGAGTGACCAGTTCTCTGCATAAAACCAGAAATCACCAACCAACTATGGAGTCTTCTGAAAATTTGCAAGGACTACAAAGATTTAGTGGGACTCATTGTTTTCTAACTAAATCACCCCAACCTTTTCTCCTACCTTTCCCCAAATCCCGGTCCTCACGTCTTTCTTTGCCGAGATCCCATTAGTAAAGTGCATAGAAAGGAAATTCTGTGGCTTTGGAGAAGTAACCTGGGTGCTGAAGAGTTAAAGGAGGGGTTTGGATGGTCTGTTTAAAGGGGCAAATGGATCAGCAAATCAGGGAACTGCTGTCTGTACGAATCTTTCAATAAACACAAAGAAGAGGGGCCTGGGGAATAGAAACCCAAATCCACTTGTAATCGTACAAGAGAATCAGGCATAATTACTTGAGCAACCTAGATTAAGATTGATGAGCCTTTAAAGTGGCGCTTCGGATCGATCGCCTTGCCCTTTGGAAAGAAAAGCCTTGCTGGGCCAAGGTGGATCTCGATTCTGCTTGGCTCCCACTGTGGAAATAACGGAAAGAAGATGGAGGGTAAAAGGGAAAATGAACCCGGCAACCGAGCGCATGTGATCCACATCAGCTGACTAGGGTCAAGAGGCTAGACTGGCTTATTAAGGGATAGAAAACAATAAAATGAAAGAAAATAGAGTTTGCGTCAATAGTATCCAAACTGTCACAATCAGAAGCTGAAAGCTGTCACTGAAACAGTTTGTTTCAAATACTCCTTTTTACACGAAATAAATTACTCTCGTCCTTTCTTTTAATTCGGCAAAGGAATTGACACTTTACTGTGAGCAGTAGAGTCGCAAATTGAGTGTTAAACCAAAGTAAAACATAAACAACGTGACAGTTAGATGCCATGATACGGGGCTAATTTGGTCTGTGTGCTTATTGTGAAAAGCGGCGAATGAATAAAGGCAGGCAGCGCAGGGGCCGGCTCCCTCCCTCCCTCCGAAACTGGCTGCGCCGGGAGCTGCGGGCCTCCTGAGGCCCGGGAGCACGGCCCGAGGCCCGCACACGCGACCCTCCTCTTCCCCGGTCCGCCCAGCCCCACTCCCCTCGCCTATTTCTCCTCCCTCGTAGGCTCCTGGAGAGCTCGAGGCTGGTTGGGGTGACCTGGCGTAGTGCTTAACTCTCGCTGGTTCGGGGCATTTTATCGGATGAACTTGACTCTTTTTTCGGAAAGGAGCAGCAGAGTTCTTAGTAGAACAGTAGCAAAAGAGCTACCTGGCGTCCGAAGGACTACTCGCTTACTTCCCGTTTCCGGGGGGGGGGGGTGTCTGTGTGTACGTACACGTACTCCCGGATTCCCTAAAATAACTTCTCTGACCCCGTTTCATTAGTGTACCGTTTTTTTAATACACGAATTTTCTGCTTCTTGAGCTTAGCTCTGGTCCATTGAATCCGATGCCAAACCTTCTTGTTGGCCTGAACACTTTCAGAGGCCCTCGGGCCCCTAAATCCACCTCCTTCTCCATGAAAAGTTGAAACCTCATGAGTGCCCACAGACAGTTTTTCTGAGGACAACATTCTTGTTAAAGTTTTTTCTCCGTTTTCAACCTTAACATACTCCCCAGGAAGAAGATGATCACTGTTAGTGTTTTCATCCTCTTCTAAAATGAGAAGTGGCTCGATAAGTACTTGCTAAGGTTCTGAACAGTTGATATTAATTTGACCTTTCTAAAAGGATGAGAGACCCGAATACTGTGGCTTCCTCTTTAGCCCCATTCCGCCCCCCCTCCCACTCCAACCCCCCTCGCCTCGGTGTCCCTGGAGAAGTTCAGCCTTCTCGACCCTGGCACCGTTCTGCATAATCCTGTGTCTTTGGGGTAACAGTGACCGTCTGAGCCCTTCGGAAAGACTGCACTTTCATTGGAACATCTGGGTTCGACGTCCCCCTGCGCCTCCAAAGTGGTTAATGCTGGCACCTTAACCTGCCATACAGTCTTTCTGGGGGAAGATTCGTGCTGCTGACAGGCAGCTTTTGGTGTTTTACAAAATTATAATTCATTCTGGGACCTATGATAGAATAAGGGGTAAAAACTGTTTAGATTTTCTCTGGCAGGGTTCCTCGAACTATGTATTGTGGAAAATGAGATAAGGCAACGTTCTCACAAACGCCTATTAGCCAAACCTGTAGTTAGTGGTGGTGCCCTTCCTCCGGGGCGGTGAAGGCTTCGGCGGCCCTGCCAGCGCCTGACGCCCTGTGCTTGTCTTGCAGGCCCCGTGGTCCTCAGCACGCCGGCTCAGCTCATAGCCCCTGTGGTGGTGGCCAAGGGGACACTCTCCATCACCACGACGGAAATTTACTTTGAGGTCGAGGAAGATGATCCTGCCTTCAAGAAGATCGACCCCAAAGTGAGTACATGTACTCCAGTGGACCCACTGATACCGTTAGTGAATTTGTGGCATAATTTTAGTTCTAACATGAATGGAGGGAAGCATTGTTGGTAGACTTCGTTTTTAAAAATAACCAGTGAGAGGGAAAGGAGTACGTCTGCCTCTCCGAGTGCAAAGGAAATGGGTGCAAAATATTTGCAACTCTGGTTCTTTAGCGCGTATTGAGATGATGAAAGTCAAATATATTCATAATTTTAAATCCTCTATTACCACAGCAGGAATATTTTTACGGTCTTTCAGTGAATGCCTTTGTATGAACTTGGGCAGATTTGGTGGTTAAGCCAATTGCCCTGAAATCCCTAGGGGTAACAACGATCTCGTACTGTCTAAAAAGACATGATGGGCTTTCCTCTAAGAGTGGGTTTTAATTGTAATGCCTTTAATTCTTCCCCCCCAAAAAAAAGTGTAAATAGAAGCAATATGGATCATTTACTGAAAGCTTATGTTGAAACTAAAAAAAAACAACCTTAAAGACAATTCTATCTGTATTTTTAATTGACTTTATTCTTAAAATAAGAATTACTAGTGGATTTAAGCTTTCCCAAAAGCTTCAAAAAATGATTTTCTAAAAAAGCCTTGACTTTTCATTTTTTGATTTTAAACCGTATTTTTGAAAGGTGTGTGTATTTATGTATGAAACTACAAAATACTTGGTCACATTTAAGATACATAAATTATTGTATTTTGTTTATACAGTGCTACTTTAGAGGGTTATGGAGGAAGATTTGGTATTTACTTGTACCACCGTACTTTGTTTTCTATAGCCAGCTTTTTTTTTCATATTTACCTCACAGTAACTTTCTACAGAATTTTCTGTATTTGAGAATGGAGGTAGGAAAGGAATCTTTTGCATTGGTTTGCAGAGATGGTTCTTTAAAATATTTCTCAAGAATAATTATTCCATCATTTTCAAAGATGAATTCCCAATAGAGTTGGGACTAGGTTACAACCCAGTTATGCTTAGTGTCCAAATACTGACCAGATAAATGAAATAAATATCACAGAATTGGTCTTTGGGAAATAGTAGTTGCCATACTAAAAATCATGAAGCAAATCTTTTAACTCAAGGTGTGTAGTTGGTTTGCTCTTTTCAGCACTTGTTGACTATAAATATTTAATTTAAGCAGGATGTTCTTCAAACTCTTTTCTCTCTTCCACTTTCAAAACAAATCACATAATTTTAAATACATTTTAATATTAGATAATTTTCATCATTTGTATTGAATTTTGTCATTGCCTTTAGGCATAGGCTGATTAGATTTCTGATTTTAGGGTTCTGCTGGCATCTTTATCAAGCAAAATATTATTGTAGGTCAGAAGTAATCTATCTTATTATAACTAGACTTCATCTATCAGTCATTATTCTTTGCTTCAAATGTTAAGGTGAATTTCATTTAAAAAAAAGCTAGATTCAATACCTTTTGCACTAGTGAACTGATTTTTCCTTAATATTCCTAATGAAAACCTAACTTGAATAAGAAAATCTTTTCTAGGTGGAATTATATTTTGACAACTGTAAAAAGTTATACTGCTATTCTGATAATCACTACTTAAGAAACTGACAGTTGTTGATAGTCTTCAGTAGTTAAAGTGGTAGTGGTTTTCACCATTATTTCAGGTTATACTTATTTTGTCTGATTACAGTAGTACATTTCTGAGGTGTTAAAGAATGTGTAGGCTTAATTTTCAAAATGAAGCATAATAAATTTTCAAATATAAAAAGAATTCATCCTGAATTGAAACACATAACTTTTCTTTTACTTCATTTATTAGCTTGTATTTAAATAAAAACCAGCAACAGAAATTAAAATCTAATTCACAAAAGTAATTATCCAGTGTATTTCAAGTGCATTTTTTCAAATATATAATTCAGATATTCAAGCGTTATTATATAAGCAGAATCCAAATTTCTTCTGAATATATTTAAATAACATTTCAAGTATATTTATGGAATGTTAGAAATAGAACAAGCAATACATTTGAAACAAAAATGTAAACTTTTAAGTTCAGACAATTTCCAAGACAGTTAACAAAAGTACCATGAGAAAAATCTACCTTTAAATGGTATCTCCATTAGCAGAGAATGTCCTGAAGTATCCAGAAATGGCAATTTAACTTCTGTTCACCAAATCACAAAACACCAACATCCACTTTCAAAGACAATGTGAGATCACAATATTTGATACAAATTAAAATGTACATTAGACTTTTGTTCAGATGACCCATTCAAATATCATTTACTCACTGACAGAGGTACCTAAAAATCACCAGAGGTTGTTATAATCCATTGATGTTATAGGCAGGATAGTCACTATCGTGTTGTCTTTTATCCGAGTTGTTTTCAGGTGTTGTGGACTTTTCTGGGGAGATGAAAAATGTTTTGAAAAGAAGTCTCAGTACTCTCGAATTTGAATTTTTCTCCCCTTCCTTTTTCCCCTTTCTCCAACCCCCTCCCCATGATGCATAAGAGGTAAATTCCTTTTTAAATAAGCTATTGTTTGCGTTGTCAAGTGGAATATTTGACTGTGATTCAAACAGGAAGTTTAATTTTCATCAGGACTTGGGAATCATTTCGGCCCTTATTAAAATTGTCCTCTAAAGTTTTTCCAAACTTTTAGGATTAGTAAGTATCTCTCTAGCCAATCGCCACGTTTGTTTGGCAGCATTTTCCAGAGCTGAATGAGGTTTGCCCTGAAAGAGGTCTAAGTTTGGTAAGAAGTAGTGAGGACACCGCCTGCATTGTAGGCAGGATATAAGTTGAGTAAAATTCCGTTGAGGCGATCGCCCAGGCAAGATTCGTCCCAATCCGATTCCCGGGGGTGCTTTTCACACTCGTAAGAAACCAGAGTCTTCATATGGTAATTGTTCAGGGGCTGGCCTGGCAGTTCCAGGTGTCGATCCCGTAAGGTTTTGAGAATCGAGAGACATTTCTTTCTGCAACCTCCCATCTGTAGTCTGTTCTCTGCTTCTGCGAATTGTAGGACCCAGGCATCACTCTCCGCTGAACTCTGTTTGCCTGCTAGAGAGTGGCACTCCTTGGATAAGAGGTTGAACCCTTCAGCTTTGACCTCTGCTACCCTGTTGGGTCCCGGCCAGGGGATGTGGGGAAGTGGCCAGTGGGCAGCACTTCTTGGCCAGATCCCCGTGCACTTAAAAGCTGGGGTAATCTGCACTACATATCTATCTCTTATTCTCAGTTTCACTTCGCTGGTATCTGCCACCATCTTTACCACATCCCTGTAACTACATTTATCCACTGCTTGAGCCACCAGGGTCTGAAATCTGGACCTGATTTTCCGAGCAGAGAGGTAACCGGAGGCTGTTATGAACTCCACCCAAAGAGACATGCTCCTTTTGCGCCCATCGCTTAACTTTAGCACGGCACATCCCGGCAGGGAACCATCATCCACAAAGTTGAAGACCCCCATTTGATTAAGATAAAGCACCACTTCAAATTCTGTGGGTGAAATGACCTCCAGACCCTCATAACGATTGTCCATTTCATTGAGAGAACTGATGAAACGGGGTTCCTGCACTTCCACTTCCTTCAACACATCCGAAACTACTTTGCAGACTTCTCGGATAGTTTTGGCGATGGCAGCTTTCCTGGCTTGGCATTTTTCATTGTAGTATTTATTCAGATGATAAACCAGCTTGGCCTGGGCCGCGATCATGTTGGGGCAGAGATCCGGATTGTACACCGGAGTCTCACAATAGGCTGTGGGATCCAATGCGGCTGCTAAAGCTGGAGCCAACTTCAGAGGAGAAACAGGCTGCTGTCCTCCGAAACGTAACCCCCCCCAAAACAATCTTTCCAGTGCGTTGTAGCTGTTGTTTCTCAGTTGCTGTTTTCCAGTTCCTTTTATCTTTGAGCCCAGCCGGTTTTAAAGGGAAAGATTACTTTTTCCCACCACCTCCCCCTGTCTGGCTCACTTTCTCTGTGTCTGTCTGTCTCTCTTCCTCTCCCTCTTTTAAAGAATCCGTGTGAGAGAAACGCATGGAGAGATCACCTTCCCAGCAAGAGAAACAAAAGTTGCACTGAGACACAGAAAAGCTCTTCCAGTAGTCAAAATAATCAACTGTTTTCGTATTTATTTATGTTTTCCTGTAATCACAGTGTGTGCCAGGCTGTTAATCAGATGGTGTAAAAGTGTTGGATGTGTGTGTGTGTGTGTGTGTGTGTGTGTGTGTGTGTGTGTGTGTGTATGTGTGTGTATGTCAGAAGAAGCTGCTGTTGGTTTGTATAAGAGCCCAGATGCACTCGAGTGGAAATTATAAAGGCAGGGCCAGGCAGGCGGGCGGCCAATCGCCACTGGGCTCGTCACTGCAGCCTACTTCAGCTCAAACCCGGTTAATTAATCCCCCCTCTTGGATATAGACACGCAAACCAAAGGTAGGAGGCTGCTGCCGGCAGAAAACCACCCAGGCTACCTAGATACTTTTGGAAATCAAGAAGAATCTCTTAGCTTTGGTGTTACTTGAAGCATATTGACGTTTTGAAAGAACTTGGCAAAATCCTTCTCTTCTGCAGTGAAATCCTGGTTGTATGTCTACGGCTGAAATGTGACTGCAGGTGTATTTGATGGTCATCCATCAGTTGGTGTACTAAAAGGGAGTTTTCATAGACAAATTCATTAATCTGTGTTTGCTGTCAGATTATTTTTCTCCTTTTGACCTTGTAGGTGTTTGTAATTTTTCAGTTTTGAACTTTTCTTTTTAGATAGTAAGTAGCTATGTAACAGCTTTTAAATAACATTTTACTTGTTCCACTGGGTTAGATTTTTTAGGGTTTTTTTTTAAGTTATGCATATTTTGTATGCTCTTTACTTGACTTTCATTTGTGGCAGTTAAAACAAATATTTAAAATCCCAATTGTTAAAAAGTATCTGGTGATTTCTGTCCCTGATCAATTAAGTAAAAAAAAAAGTTAGATACTTAGTAAACCTTCCCCCAACTCCGTGTTTCTCCTCGTCTGTGATTGCAGGCTTTTCTCCATCATTTATCAGTGTGCTGAGCTATGTAATATATATGGAGCCTTGGAAAATGCTTGAAAAATAAATAGCAAATCGTTTCTCTGTATAGTTTATTTTAATGTGAACTTATTTCAAACTGTGTTGTAATAAATGGGGGCACAAGAGAGATTGCAGATATGCTGGCATATCACTAACTTGATAGTTTAAAGGTTTGGAATTTTGGATTTGTCGGAATGTCTATATTTAAGGAACTATCTCTCTTAAGTGTCCACAATGGTGGCCTGAATTTGCAGAGTGTAAAGACTGCCAAATCCTACTTTGTAGCATTCCTGCCTCCTTTGATATCCTTCAGAAGGAACTGTTTATCATATTTTAAGATGAATCGAACCTCAAGAAAGGAGTGTTTCATTTTGACAATTTTTAAATAATTAAGAATTAATCATCAAAATTTTCAAAACTTCAGGAGAGAAGAAAACTTCTCTTACATATTTTTTGTGGATTTTTGTTTTGTTTTAGTTTGTTTTGGCCAAATACATCAAATTGAAGGAATACTCAGTAGGGTTCTCCATTATATTTTAAAATTGGGATGGATTTTGAAATACCCACATTAATTTACAGTCACATTCAATCACATTTAATGGGGAGCTACTTTTTAATTTTTTTTCTTTCCCAGTTTACAATAGTTCATTTGCCTCTTCCCCATCAACAGACATCCTTCCTTCTCCCTTCCCCTACCCCCATTTATAAGTAACTGGTCTCAAGAGACCTTCCCTATTTGTGTTAGACTGTTCCTACAAAACAAAAATGTTCACATCTTGTAACTTATTTTTTACACTTTATTTTAAGATCACAAAACCATATATTCTTTGACCTCTCTGATAATCTGTGGAGAATCCCGATAAATTCTGTTACTAGGTGGAAATTATAAAACAAATTTTGGGCTCCTACCATCCATAGATTTCCTTGCCCAAGCACTGTTTCTTCTGATAGGGCTGGGAATTGGGTTTAAAAACACTCTTTAAATTCCCCTCTTCATTTTTGCCTAATTTTCAGTTGCTAGTAAACACAGGCCATCTTTTGTAGAAGGAAAAGGAGTCAAGAAAAGACAAATCAGAGTAGAAGTTCTGACTAGCAGGGTGTATTGCTGTTGCCTGTCAGGGAAAAAGGAAGAGGCTGCCTTTAGCCTAAACTAGTGGAAACTGCTTTTTGCCACCCCCCCCTTTCTGTCTTTTGCTTTTTTTTCTCTGCTTCTCTTGTCCTTAACCCCTACTCTCTTCTCTCTCTAATTGCCCTACACCTATCTGCTTCTTTTTGCTTCCCTCCCTGTCTCTGCATCTGTTTCTGCCTCTGTCTCTCTCCCCGAGTCTTTTCTCTGTCTCTTCGGGTCTCATGCCCTGCCACTTTCCTTGTTGCCTGCTGGTTTTCCCATCCCCTCTCCTTCCTGTTTTCCCCCTAACTGTACTTTACCTCAATTGCCAGCAGCCACACATAAACCAAACTCAACACAAATTCCCTTGAATGTTTCTCAGCTTTTATCTATTTAACAGTTGAAATTTATCAGCTATTTTTTTCTGGCTCGAAGTAGAATGAAGTCACTTTATTTTTCAAGATTACCTAGACATTCATAGACTCTTCTATTTGTGTATTTGTCTATTATGATTTAAGTTTTGGTTTTGACTTTTTTTTTTGGCCACCTGGAAATGAACGCGTTTGATTCTGGATGTGATGGAATATGGAGGCAGATAAATCGCCCGGGCAGTTTTGGGAGACATTAACACCTACTGGGGTGATTTAATATGTTTGTATCCATGCTCAATAAGCCCTCCAGTTGGGTTTAATGTGAATCGCGACGGGGATGCAGTGGGCGGGAGCCATAGACCTTCTGAAAAACCCAGACGCGCAGGTGGTAGATCTTCGAGACTCTGTAGCCTGTTCGACCTAATTGGGTTAAAGCGAAGCTAAACAACGAAACATTTTGTGCAAACTAATTGGTGCAACCTGGGGCTTTTCACTAACGATTTGCACTTTGAGGAAGAAAAATGGAGAGTGAGAAGACACTAGGGTAACTTGTTAGTCAAAGTGTATTCCAGGAAAGTGAAGTAATTCAGTTTCGAAGAAAGTGAGTCTGCTGCTGTTTTCTGAGCTGCTTTTCTGAGTACCCTTCACATATGGAGCTGACAGTGATTTACATAACACAAGATTCACAGATCTGCTGCTGTCACTGTTGGTGAACTGGGCGACCTATAATATTACTCCTGCGCAAGTCCTGCTTGTTGCTGCAACACAGTGATTTTCTGTTACAATGAACACGTGAAATGAATTGCCTTGTGTAGCAAAAACCTTTCAGTTGATCTTAGACACCAGTCATTGGTGAAAAGAAAATTAAAATTAAAGTCTTCAGTGAAGTATTGTGTCCTCTTTCTCTTATAACTGTAACGTCCCATAAAAGGGAGATATTCAGTCTGTAGAATTGCTGACTTATTAGTTTATTCATTAATTCAGTTAAAATATTTTTCTATGTTTTGAATATTGAAACATTTTATACGAGTCATTTCTTTTAAAAGATGTACTTCACCTCTAAAATAAACTGTTTTAAAATCATAGAATAATATACCAAGATAACATAAAATGTTTGATTAACACACCGGGTGAACTTATAAAAATTATCTGTGGTGCATCTTCAGTAATGATTTTTTAAAATTATAAATATTTTGCTTAAAATATGAGAGCATTCAGTTGTTAGCATTGCAGCAAATGTATGCTTATTAAAGTCTCCCCAGCTTGAAGAAATAAATGCTGAATTGTTTTAAATGGTATGCATGCAGACATTCTTGACATGAGCTAATAATAGAATGATAATTGTTGAAAAAGGGACCTAATTGAAGGGAGAACAAGAATCTCATGATTTAATGACTGAAATGTTTACATTTGTATGGTATTTGGGACCTTGAGGTATAACAGACTCTATTTTAGATTTTTTTCTATGACCATGTGTTCAACTTATTTGATCATCCCCATAGTGTAACATTTTGAAAATATGGCATTTAGAGTTAGCATTTACACGCCATTTTATCATCATAGGTTATATTAGAATTAATGTTACTAAAATGTTTTTGTTTCCAAAAATTTTAAGTGTATGAAACAGAAGGAAAGGTATATTTCCTGAAATATGATTCCCTAGTTATCGCTCCCCCCATCATCTAGTCCTTTGTACATACATGCTGTAGACAAAGTGACATGTAAATAGCCACCTTATTAGTGCATACATACAGAAAAAGCCCAATTATGTTGAGGAATGTATGAATAAAAGGTTTCTGTGTTTTAATAAACTAATTTGAAAAATTGAGTTTCAGGCTCATAAATTTCCACAATAGTGTCTTTTCATGTGGGAAAAATAATGGTTAGTTAGAGCATATGCACATATATGTTAAGTGCTTGTGGAGATATTACTTCCTGTGTTTTTTCATTATCTGCTAGCTATGATTCTATATACCAGTATTCATGAATTTAAAGGTTTTTTTTTAATATCTGCTTATTTGCACCAGGGAGATAAAAAAGAATATGAAGTTGAGTTTATTAAATTATTTATCCCTACTGCTGGAGTGGCTTTGAAGGCTCATTGAATAGATCTTATTTCCATTCTTCCTTCCCACCCACCCCCACCCCACCTTTCTCTCATACTTTTTTTTTAATACATCCAGACTATTTCATCTGTTTTGTTCTGCCAGCCACAATATATTTTTTGTTACACTAGAGAAATTTAAGACAGATATTTGTGGGGAGTTTTCTTTATGTGTCATATTACATAAAGTAAAGTAGAGGGACCTTTTCTGAAAATTCAATTTGATAGCACCTGCACTTTTCCCCATCCCAATTGTGGCATATAATGTAAGAACATTTGAAACAAAAATAGTCTGAAACCTTTAAAAGTTCCAATAGTTTTCTAAAATGATTTTCTTGTTTTTGGACTGGCTGAAGGAAGACCCACACAGATGACATCCTGTGTCTATAGAAGCATGTTCATTTTACCATGTCTATGAAAGAATAGAGAAATGAGCTAAGCATCTCAAAAAACTAGGTACCTTCAACATTTCTTCACCTGAATTATCCTGTTAAGTGTGGCTAAAGATGTATTTCAGGGTGGTGGAGGGAATTCTTTGCTTGGATCATCAAGGTTAACTGCCTCACTTTACTTATTCACTTCTATGGACCAGCCAGAGATGTACAT